AATCCACCCCCATTCTCCTCCCCCAGCCCCTGGGCCCGTCGTCCAACTGCGCGTCGTCTCATCTCCAATTCATATCCATTTCAAACGTGATACGCTTGGGCAAGCGTGCTACTGCCCGCTGGGCCACCCGTAGAGAGGGTGGGGGAGGGGTGAGTGGAGGGGAGAGGAGGCCAAGGGAGAGCGCCGTTGGAGCGCGCGCGGGGGGCGCGGGCCGCGTGGCGTGCTCTTGACGGGGTGCTCAGGTGCCCCGTCTGCACCCTCTTCTGCCGTCCAAACCTGTCCTTTCTTTTCCACGCTCCTCAGTCTGTTGGATCTCTCTTTACGGGGCTCAGGTGGGGCGGCCTGTCTGGCCAGCCGAGAGTGGCTTCTCTATATCCCCGACCATCTCCAGAGCGACGAGCGTTTTAGCCCGGATTTCAGGTGGGATGCCGAACCCGTCATATGGAGTTCCCGTGGCACTGCGCGAGCATCGTGCAGCTGAGGCCATCGAGACTCGTACGAAAGCACTGAGGTGTAGTGATCCTGATGTGATGCAGAAAGACACGTTCTCCGGCTGTAATGCCGTTTATTTTATCCCATGTTATCAGTGTTTTCAGTCATTCTGGTGGGTCACCCAAAGTTGTTGTTTCTGTTGTTCCTTTTAAACACGCCCCTTACCGAGCCCCTTACACAAGCCTGGCAGCTTGCAAACCGGTACGATGTCGGCGCTGGCAAGTCAAGTACCTCCTAAAGCGATGCTCCCTTTCCTTGCTCCGTCCCCTCTGCTCAATGCTCAATTAATGAATACGCAGAAAGAGAGAGAGAGAGAGAGAGAGAGAGAGAGAGAGAGAGAGAGAGAGAGATAGAGAGAGAGAGAGAGCGAGAGCGTTTGGTGTTGGTCGCGTCCCTCCAAACACCTCTTCGCTCCATTCGCGCCCTCTCCATTAGCCTCTCTGGAGCGTGCCGCTCTCTTCCCCCCCCCTCTCTCTCTCTCTCTCTCTCTCTCTCTCTCCCTCGCTCTCTCTTTCCCCTTTAGCCCCGCTCCTCTGGCGGGCGGCGCGTTCCTTTGAAAGGCATTAGAGCCCCGACGTCTCAGCAACACCATTGAGCACCGAGCGCTGGGCTTGAGGCCGCCCCGCCGGCTGGGTGAAGCCCACCCGACCAGAAGGCGTAGCGTAGCGGGGCGGGTTGGGCTGGTCCCGGCCGGACAGTAATGGTATTGCATTCGAAACCTACGGCTGGGG